CGGACGCCGCACCATGCCATAAGCTCACTTGGCCCTTCGGGCCAGGTGAGCTAAAAATGAAAAGTCACCTTGAGTTGGACCATAGGTGCCGGCTGAACAACTGGTTCCCAGGGCAACACCTGGCTCGCAATATTGGCCTGCACTACAGATGTTACCAGTGACACCATCTACCGGAGTAGCAGTCTGTGCTCCTCCTGTACAGTAGTACCCTCCTTGGCAGTCACCAGAGGGAGCCGCCAGTCCTTCAATGCCACAGTACTTTCCTCCCGGACACTGGGTACACTCTGAGGATGATTTAAGTGCGGAGCTGTTTGAGTAGGTTCCATTCGGACACTTGTACTCAGTGGAATATTTTGTACCATTAGGACAGTAGTTGCCTGGTTCACAAATGGCAGGATTCTGGACGCCGGTGGAACAGAATGTGTCATTCTGGGTGGTACCATCACAGAAGTAACCCTCAGGACACTCCTTACACACACTCTGTAATGGAGGGAAGCAACATGATTGATTGGTCGTTTTCCTACCAATTATAGTAAGATATCATTAACAAAGACCTGATAACAAAGAAAACATCTTCAAGAAGCTCATTCAGGATGTTCAAACTCCTGTTTCATAAATCCAGAAAACTTTCTAAGAGTAAAGAGGTTCTATTGTGCTACATTATATTAAGTTACTAATGATACCTACAGGAATTATACATATGTCTTGTCATAGAACCCAGTGCCCTACAGATTGGTATTTTTACTGCAATTTAATTTTTGCCGCTTTATTAAAAGTCATTTCCTTGCTAATTTTAATGTTTTTACTCTTTTACCAGTTTTTCCCTCGCTAATCTTCTTTAAGAGTTTGTACTTAAAACAAATGTTTCCCCCAACTATTTTTAGTGTTTGCCATTCTTGTACAATTTTGATACATGTTCCTAAATACAATGACAAAACATATATCATACCTGTCCAAATTCGTTCTGGTAAGTCCCTGATTCACACGAGGTCAGCATGGTGCTTCCGGCCTCACAGTAGTGTCCAGGTGTACAGATATAATCCGCTGGACTGCTAACATTCTGGCCGGCCGGACAGTAATAACCAATAGAACACTGACCTGTGGGTGCTGACAACCCAGAATTCACACAGTACCATCCTGAAAATAAATGGTTTGCGTCTGTAATCTGTGTACTTGTAATCTGTTTTTTCCTCTGTTAACAAAATATAATGTGTCATGACTTATCAGAAGTCCTTGGCAGGTGCATACATGTAGTTGCACACAAGAATTATAAATTTTCCATCTTTTTCAATGTGAAATTTCTGAGAAAGTAAAAGAAATATTACAGTGAAATGCAATTCCATGTGTAAGCCAGCTATGGAACCTTTTCTGTTTGACTGGAAGTGTAAAACACAGACTTACCTAGAGTACACTCCTGACAGTCAGAGAAGTCTGAGTTGCCGAGGGCATTAGAGAAGTATCCTGGGGGACATTTTTTGGACGTGCCGGTACCCTGGGGACAGTAGTGTCCAGTAGGACATATACCACCGGTCGTGTCATTCTGGGGATCAGCACGGCTCGCTCCCAAAGTACAATAATATCCGGCCATACAGGGCCCCGCCTCACTTGACAGGCCAACCACATCACAATATTTACCTGTAATTATACAAATGATTTACCTGTATTTATACTCATAATTAACATCACAGTATTTACCTGTAGTTGTTCTCATGACTGACCTGTATTTGAACTCATAATTAACATCACAGTGATTACCTGTAATCAAACACATGATTTACAAAAATGTACCTGTATTTATACTCACAATTAACATCATAGTATCTATCTGTTATTTTACTTACAATTTTGATAATAGTATTTACCTGTAACCATTTTCACCTTATTTTTTCATACTCTTTTGACTAATGATTAATTGATTGTGCCACTCACCTGTGGTACATGGAGTTGGCTGGCTGGAGCCGACTGGACAGAATTCTCCGGGCTGACACTGACCACCAGTGGTATTGGCTGGACAGAAGCAATCAGAGTAGGAGGAGTTGTATGAAACGATATCTGTTGGCTGGTTGGACCAGGATCCCCGTATACAGTACCACCCACCTGCACAGTCACCGGTAGGAGTGGACAGACCAGCACTGCCACAATACTTGCCCGGATCGCATGGCAAGCAGTCTGTGACGCTCTGTCTCCCTGTCACATTATTGTAGTAACCTTTGTCACATGGGTACTGGTATATGCTGCCTGTTCCCATAGGACAGTAGTGTCCTAAAGGACAAATGTTTCCAGAATAGTCTGTGGAATTCTCCGGACAGTAATACCCTGCAGGACAGTCAGTGCATACAGCCTCTCCTGTACTGGGGTTGTAGGATCCAGCAGGACAGCCAAGTGGGTAGGATGTTCCGTTGGGGCAGTAGTGACCAACTGGACACGGTCCACTTGTGGCATCAATTGTTGGGTTGTTGGGTGAGGAAGCCCCTCGTAAACAGTAGAATCCTCCCCAGCAGTCACCTGTGGGCTCGGTAAGGCCAACAGTTCCACAGTACTTGCCATAAGCACATTGAGTACATTCACTTGAAATAGTTAACTTGGTCTGGTTACTGTAAGTTCCAACTGGACATCCTACAGAGGTCACTGTGCCACTGGTACAGTAGTGACCAGCTAGACAGGGTCCCGCTGTGCCAGTGTTGCCGACGTCGGGTGTTGCTGAGTCCGATCCTAGTGTACAGTAATATCCTGGGTCACAGGACCCAGTAACAGATGTGGCATTGGCGGTGTCACAGTACATACCTGCTGTACACTGCGTACAGTTGTCCACATGCCACAGTCCAGTATCGGTGCTGTAGGTCCCAGGTGGACAAGACTGCCACAGTACCCCAGTTCCCTCAGGACAATAATACCCAGGCGGGCATGGGTCGGGGGTCAAACCTGTTATACAGTAGTATCCAGGGGTACAGTTCCAGCATGCATCTGCCCCAGTGTTGGTCATATAAGTTCCATCTGGGCAGGAAATCGGTAAGGTTGTGGTCCCTGGGCAGTAGTGGCCAATAGTACATGGATCTCCAGTTGTTCCATTGTCAGATGGTGTGGGGGTCACTGCCTTACGGTAGCAGTAGTAGCCGGGGTCACATGACCCTGAAGGTGTGGTGAGGCCAGTTCCATTACAGTAGTATCCCCCAGTGCAGTCCTGACATTCTCCCGACGTAGCCAGACCTGTACTAACAGACCATGTTCCCAGGAGGCAGGGCTCAGGTACCGGGGTTCCCTGGGGACAGTAGTTCCCTATAGGACAAGCTTGACCTGTTACTCCATCAGTGGGTGTTGGCGTTGATGACCCATTCATGCACCATGATCCAGCCAGACAATCACCTGCAAAGAGGAAGCAAACATTTTGGTTGTCACACTATCTATCCGGGCAAGGCTTATTTGTAGTGCTATCTAGCCAGTGTTTTAGGTAACTCACTTATCTTTTTCTAATCACAAGTTTTCCAGAAATCCAGCATTGTTCACATTTCACTTTCACACTCTTTACTTTTAATGATTCCAGTTCTTGTATTTAGATCAAGTTGGTGACCATACGTTTTTAATGTTTGGCTAACATTTTGTATTTGAATTATTTCAGTACTTGTAAGTAGATTAAATTGGTGACCATACATTTTTAATGTTTGGCTAACATTTTGTATTTGAATCATTTCAGTACTTGTTATATAGGTTAAGTTGGTGACCATACATTTTCAATGTTTGGTTAACTATTTGTATTTGAATGACTTTGTATTATAATGTTTCAATATAAGTTAACAATTATCTAAAATATTAAAAGATTTCCTACTAACCTTCTAGATGTTCTAAATGTTTTACTGTAAGTGTAGACATTTTGGCGGTATTCTAATTTAGAATTGCAATAATTGATTTTTTTGTATATAGTTATCAATTACATGTACGGTGAGCAAGCCAATTCATCAATGCGCTAATCTATTAAAATTTTATAATCTGCTGGAATTTTGACCCACTAAAAAAGTGCTCTTACAGTATCATGACAGCAGGATATGACTTTGATATATTAAACCTTGTATACTCTCTTGAAAGCATCCTATACCTGTATAGTTGGTGAGTCCATCAGAGCCACAGTACTTTCCAGAGTCACAGGGAGTACACTGACTGATATCACTCCGCATTGTGTAGGGATTGTAGGTACCGGCAGGACAGGGATACTGCTGTGAGAATTCTGTGGCATTGGGACAGTAGTAGCCCTCAGGACAGGGATAAGGTGTATAGGTCGTCACTGGAGTGTTGGCCATGTTACAGTAGTAGCCTGGCGAGAAAATACAGTTATCAAAACATGGCACAATAAAAAATATGCTCAGAGATTGTGGAAGTATTCTGAACCTGTCAAAAGTAGAACTTCATCATGGATCCGATATCTGTCACAAAGTGTACCGTTTGGAGCGAGTTTTATAAAATGTGGTTAAACATTTCCGCACAATCAAGTTATACTATTCATCTGTAACCTTGACCTTGATCGTCCCCTAATGACAGGATTCCATTAACTCAGGTGATTGCTGCAATGCTAATTTTATGCATGTCAATTGGAAAGTACTGGTCACCCATAGTGATGTCTGAACAGATGCTTACCTGGTTCACAAAATTTGCATGAGCCTTGACCATTCTGGTCCTGATAGGTTCCGGATGGACAAATAATCTGCTCATAGACTCCTGCTGGACAGTAGTGACCCATGGTACAGGTGTAGGCTGTAGGGTTTCCCTGGCTCTGGCCCGTTGGACAGTAGTATCCTGTTGTACATGTAGTTTACAACAGTATAGTATAAAATACACTATATACAATGTCTTTATTCATGTTTAGTTTTGGAATACAAAGCAGAACATGCCAAGTTATTGAATATAAGGACTGTTCCTATCAATAAGCTTTAAAGTAAAGTTGCTGTACTTTGCTTCACAACAGGTAATCTATAAATAAACATAGGGTTAGTGGTAAAACAATACCCAGATTACGATATCCAACAGACATTACAATGTCCCGTTTTCCTTGTTTAATCAGACAAGGAATAAAGACAAATTATATATTTGGTCACACTTACATTTGATCTCTTAAATTAATACTTTTTTATAATACAATGCAGTTACTTGTTGGGCTTTTGTGTAAAGGCCAATCGGATGAAGAACTGCAATAGTAAAGCCTTATGTCTGAACCACTGTGTTGTGCCCTACAGATGAATCACTATGCCAAGCCCTACCTTTGAATTACATATTTAAAACACTCTGGAGAGCCTTATCTTTGAACCATTGTACCAATCTCTAGATTTGAAACACTGTGCTTTCTCTTCCACCGTCATGATATATCCCCCTGTCTTACCTTCGAAGCATTCTCCCGTAGGTTCTGTTAGACCGGTAGAGCCACAGTAATAGGCCTGGGTACAAGGGGTACATTCTGAGGACTGTGTGAGGCCGGTCCTGTTATTGTACGTTCCTGTGGGACAGCGTGCTTGGTTGGTAGTACTTCCAATCTCTACAACACAAACAACAAGATCACCAATAGACCTAACCAAACAGAATACCAGTGGATCAAGGTGATACATCTACATGCTTCGTCAAGGTCATACATCTACATGTTTCTTCAAGGTCATACATCTACATGTTTTGTCAAGGTCATACATCTACATGTTTCGTCAAGGACATACAATTACATGTTTCTTCAAGGTCATACACTTATCTAGGTTTCTTTAAGGACATACACTTATCTAGGTTTCTTCAAGGTCATACACTTAATACAGGTGTATTCAAGGTCATACACTTATCAAGGTTTCTTCAAGGTCATACACTTATCTAGGTTTCTTTAAGGACATACACTTATCTAGGTTCTTCAAGGTCATACACTTAATATAGGTGTCTTCAAGGTCATACATTTAATAAAGGTGTCTTTAAGGTCATACACTTATCAAGGTTTCGCCAAGGTCATACACTTATCTAGATTTCTTTAAGGACATACACTTATCTAGGTTTCTTCAAGGTCATACACTTAATAAAGGTGTCTTCAAGGTCATACACTTATCAAGGTTTCTTCAAGGTCATACACTTATCTAGGTTTCTTTAAGGACATACACTTATCTAGGTTCTTCAAGGTCATACACTTAATATAGGTGTCTTCAAGGTCATACACTTAATATAGGTGTCTTCAAGGTCATACATTTATCTAGGTTTCTTCAAGGTCATATACTTATCTAGGTTTCTTCAAGGTAATATACTTATCTAGGTTTCTTCAAGGTCATACATTTATTTAGGTGTGTTCTTCAAGGTCATACACTTAATATAGGTGTCTTCAAGGTCATACATTTATCTAGGTTTCTTCAAGGTCATATACTTATCTAGGTTTCTTTAAGGACATACACTTATCTAGGTTGCTTTAAGGACATACACTTATCTAGGTTTCTTCAAGGTCATATACTTATCTAGGTTTCTTTAAAGACATACACTTATCTAGGTTTCTTTAAGGACATACACTTATCTAGGTTGCTTTAAGGACATACACTTATCTAGGTTTCTTTAAAGACATACACTTATCTAGGTTTCTTCAAGGTCTTATTCTATTATTCCTTAATGAAACATATAAAATATGATTAAATCCAAATTATAATGAAAATTTTCTTACAATTTAGGTCAAATTGTCAAAAAGTATTTGTCAAAGGACCTGTGCATCTCATACAAAAACAAGGTTAATGCGAGCAGTATATAATACGCCCGTCACACATTGAATGAGCAGTTGTTTGTATGATTGAAATATATGAAGTATTTGTGAGTAATTGATATTAAAAGAGAAATAATTCAACATAACTGGTAGATCAATGAGTGCAATACAACATCATGGAATGCATGCATCGCATTAATGAAACCAAGGGGAATAACTCCAATAATTACGGTCATATAATGGCGGTTATCGAACTTGTCCGAGGTTTCATGGTAATTAACCTTGTTGTGAAGTTTGAAGTTAATCCGTTAATAATTACT